GATTTTGTTCCCATCGAAAGACTTCATATAGTAGAAGATAGCCACCGGAAGGCCACCAGGGGGCCCACAAGGTAGGGGGTGCGCCCAGGGGGGTAGGGCGCGCCCCCCAACCTCGTGGGCAGGGTGTGGCCCCGCTAGTGAAGTTCTTGCTCTCAGTATTTTTTATATATTTGGAAAACATCTTCCGTGACGTTTTAGGACTTTTGGAGCTGTGCAGAATAGGTCTCTAATATTTGCTCCTTTTCCAGCCCAGAATCCCAACTGCCGGCATTCTCCCTCTTTATGGAAACCTTGTAAAATAAGAGAGAATAGGCATAAGTATTATGACATAATGTGTAATAACAGCCCATAATGCAATAAATATTAATATAAAAGCATGATGCAAAATGGACGTATCAGAAGTGTAGATCGGGGCCATCTCAACTACTCCCGAGCAAATCAACAAGTTTGGTTGGCTAGGGAGAGAGATCGGGCGAAAATGGAGCTTGGAGCATTGATGGAGCTTTTTGGGGGAATAGGTGAGTCAACGAAAAAGAAGGGGACCCCCTTTTATAGTGGGGGTAACAATCCAACCGTTACCCCACTAAACAGCCCCGCAGAGGGCGGTACTACCACAAGGGGCAGCCGTACTACCGTTGGATCCAGCGGTACTACCGCCCCCTTGCGGTACTACCGCCCAGCCAGGGAGGGCTTGAAGATAGAGAAGGGACCGTGTCCAGCGCGGTACTGCCACGGTGGTAGGGCGGTACTACCGCTCTCGAGCGGTACTACCGCATCTACTGTCGCCGCAAGTGCCGCTCGACCCGACACGAGAAACACCCTCCTCGAGTCGAGTGGGTAGTGGCCCGGTACCGCAGCGGTACTGCCGCTGAGGACCCTCAAGCGGTACTACCGCTGGGCACCACGGTACTACCGCTGGGGACAAAGACTGCCCATTCGGCAGGGAAACAAACCTCCAACAAAGCGGGAAGGCTCAAAGGGTGTGAAACGGAAGTGTATGTGATGATTCTACCCAAGCCGTACCAGAGCGGACCCCCTCTTGATAGTACAGTGACTCCTACGAAACTAGTCCACCAAACAAGAAACGAAAGAGCTACACCGTCTTGAATAACACTCTGAGGGGAACGAAATCGTCTCGTGCCAAAGGATGAAACTCTGAAATACTCAAAGCACACGATTAGTCCGCAAACATGTTGTCATCAATCACCAAAACTACATCGAGAGAGATATGCCTTAACACCGAGGCCCTATGAGGTTGAGAAGAGGTCTCCTGGATGCATAGTTGTGATTGACCACACAGAGTGCGACCAGGAAAAAAATCATACAGATGTTTGTTGCGCTGAAGCCTTTGTGCGTTGGATTCTTGGCTGGCTGCAGACCTTACTTTGCGATAGCTAGAACTCATTTGATAGGCAAGTATAGAGGACAATTAGTTACTGCTTGTGCTATTGATGTGCACAATTGGTTGTACCCTGCAGTCTATGGAGTTATCGATTTGGAAACTACTAAAAGTTGGGTGTGATTATTGGAGAAGATTGGTGATGCTATTGGCCTCCCCTGGTCTAGCTATATATTCAAAAGCAGGAAAATGGATTGACACTGCAATTGAACAAGTATTTGGGTATGTAGAACATAGGGAATGCATGCGCCTAACAGCCAAGCAATGGCCACTCAAAGCAAAAAGAGTTGAAACCGTGAAGTCTCTAAAAACATCGCCTATCATTTATGTATTGCACCTCTTCATGTGTATGCTATTCTATTTAGAGACTTGCTTGTGTGAACAACATATTTTGGTTGTGGTATTTGGGTTCTGGATGATGTAACTTGGTACTGATTGTGTAAGATTTAGTACGGTGTTTGTTAAATCTCTTCTACTCCCTCCATCCCATAATGTGTCAAGAAACGTCTTACATTATGGGGCGGAGGGAGTAGATGATGTGAATTTTCTCGAGTATTACTCTGTTGCTGGTACTATAGATATGCTGGAATTGTTAGATAGTCACTATATTATTGCTGGAATGCTGAAAATAGAGGGGAAATGCCGTCAAATTTCTTTCTGGACATGTTTTACAATTGTTTGCTTATTTGTCGTTGAGAGCAATACAGTCATTTTGGCCACTTATCGGACTGAGATAACACTATACTAACTGCTACCGGTATATAAGCACTAGAATTTGTTTGTGCTTGGTACACTGATGCTTTGTTGGATGATAAATGAGCCATTGAGGAGGTTGTCAATGGTATAGAAGCCATTTTCTCATATTTTTAACACCACTCTGAAGAGAATGCAACTCCTTTACTCAAATAGATCGATGAATTATCCACATTTATTCTTTGCCCGAAGACATCACAATATTTTTTAGGAGATCTCAAACACGTGTGGCCTATCACTAGTTGCCTCAAAAAAGAGGAGGCTATTTTCGAAAAAAATAAGATGGGTAGCTATAGGAGTTGTATCAGTCACTACAACACCTCTAACTCTGTCACCTTGCGCTTTTAAAAGATAAGAAATGCCCTCGACCGCCATCAGGAACAAATACAGAGGGATTAGATCAGCCCGCCGCACACCTTGAAATGGCCTGAAAGCATCCATACTACCACCATTAAATAGAACTGGAAAACAAACCAATAACACACACCTCGTGATGGTTTCCGTGAATTGAGGACTAACTCCAAGCTTGATCATGACTGCCTTAAAATAAGACCACTCTAATCTATCATAAGCTTTCATCATATCTAGCTTGAGCGCACAAAATCGGTTACCCTTAATTTTCCTTGTTTTCATGTAGTGCAAACATTCATAGGTCAGTATGAAATTGTCTGTGATGAGACGTCCAAGAACAAACACGGACTGCTCTTCAAAGATTACCTCGGGGAGAATAACTTTCAGCTTATCAGCTAAGACTTTTGAAGCGATCTTGAAGATGGCATTGCAAAGGCTTATAGACCAAAATTGTCAATCTTGGGAATCAAGGTGATAAACGTATGGGTTATCTCCTCTGATGAGACCTCTCCATTAAGCAGTCTAATGATCATACATGACACTTCACCGCCACATGAGTCCCAATGCCCATGGGAAAAATGTGTTGGGGAACCATCAGGCCCAGGACCTTTCGACGGAAACTTTGAAGTCATGCTTCTTTAACCTCTTCTTTACCATAACTTGCATTGAGTTGGGCATTCATCTCACCATTAACCCTTTTCGGTATGTGAGACAAAACCTCTTCCATGCCAATGGTTCCTGCAGAGGCATATAATGCATAGGACTCATTTGCCATATCTGGCATCTCTTTTGGGTTCGTGCTGATCCAATCATCTTCTGTTCAAGCTAAGAAATAATGTTCTTGGAGCGGCAGGCACTAGCTTTCCTCTAGAAAAATTGCGTGTTACTGCTATCACCCTCCGAGAGCCATTCAATGTGTGACCTTTGCCTCATCATGATTTTCCTCCAGGTATGATAATTTAATGATCTGGTCCTTGATCTTTTCTCCTCTACTCTGGTCCGACCCAAAGAGGATCGGCTCGCAAAGCAGCAAGGCGTTGCCTCAACATTCTCAGTTCCTAGCGAAAAGACCTAAAGGTTGTCCTACCCGGCTGGACAAAGAGCTACAAATAGTGTTCATCTTCCTCGCCAAAATCACATACCACCGCTGCCAGTTGATCCGCTTGCAAGGCCTCGTCAACCACCACTCAGAATTGCTACGAGACTCCAACATACAAATGCTTATTCTGGCCTCCCCGCCTCCTCATATACTCGGCGCTTGGCCCAGGACAAAATGAAAAAGGAGAAGGTCAGTGTTGAAAAACCCCACGATGACGTAAAAGAGGAAAAAACTGCGACACACATGGGCTGCTCGCACATAGTAAACCCTTGCTACTACGTTGCTAACCGGCCCGCACAGAGAAAAGTGGGTTGCTCGGAACACATTCCTCTGCAATATGAAAAATAATTTGTGGATGCCCGCATGAATCTTTGTGTACATTTATCCAATTGTTGATGGCCTGAATGAGATTAAACTAAATCTCAGCTAGCTACGTTTGAGCAATCCCATTTTCCCTACCATGAATGCGGTGTAGTCTTCGCATAGGACCTTCCACACCTTAGGCAACTATGTTTTTCATTTGCGAACCAACCTTGGTTGAATGGTAGGACGACAGTGGTATCCTCAGCCCATCGTGATTCAAGTTCTAGACTTGACATTGTTGCTCGTATTATTCCTGAATTTATTCTAGACTTTCAGTGATATTCCTTCAATGGGAGGAGACGTTGCGAGCGATTTTGATTGTAGTGTGTTAAGAAAATTTATGTTTTTCATAAGTAATGTAAACGCTTTTGTACCACCTATTGACTGCGTGCATTTAAAAAAAACTCAATGGAGTAGTATAACGTTTTGAATGAGGATGCACTTTAGTTGGTGTTAAAAAAAGGAAATGCACTTTATCGAAGAACACAAACTTGACGAGTAATTAGTTCGATACATACGAGGGGCCAGCTATCCCCGGGGCGCCTGTGAAATTGGACGGACGTACCTATGACCCGCGCGCCACCGTCGCGACCTGCAATGTCTCGGTCGACCGCTGTGAAGTGTCGAGAGCAGAGGGTCGAGCTAGCGGTTGGTGCGCTACGAGCCGCAGGCCGGCAGGGGTCAGTCGGCGTCGTACTACGTCGAGACGACAGAGACGAAAGCAGGCAGTGCATCGACGACGAAAGCAGCCAGGCCCACGCCATGCGTACGCCGTTGAAGATGGGAATCATTACGCTGTTATAAAAGCCCGTCCTTTTTTACTCGCTGGACGTCTGATTGTCCTTCGCATCCGATGCCTGTCAATTACTACAGTTATTTTTTTACCTCCAGTAGTTACGCGGCTTCAACAGCAAGCTTTAGCTCTAGGCGCGTGCGGCGCAAGCGAGTATATATAATCGGACGTACGAGACTGCGTGAGACTCACACACTTGCACAGCTGCACTGCTGCACGCCTCCTGCACTGTATATCCATCCATGGCCGCTTCACCGCCGCTCCGTCACGTCGCCATGCTCCCCTTCATGGCAAAAGGCCACGCCATGCCGCTGCTCCACCTGGCTCGCCTCCTGCTCGGCCGCCGCCTCGCCTCCGCCGTCACCTTCTTCACCACCCCGCGCAACGCGCCCTTCATCCGCGCGGGGCTCGCCGGCGCCGGCGCCGGCGCCGCGGTCATCGAGCTTCCGTTCCCCTCCGAGGACGCCCCGCAGTGCACGGACGAGCTCCCGTCCACGACGCATCTCGTCGACTTCGTCTCCGCGATGGCTGCGCTCGGGCCGGCGTTCGCGGATGCCCTGGCCGTGGTCGAGCCCAGGCCGGACCTGCTCGTCCACGACGGGTTCATCGTGTGGGCCAAGGACATCGCCGACGAGCTCGGCATGCCGCGGCTCGTCACCCTCGGCATCGGCGGCTTCTCCTCGTACGTCTGCGGGGCGGTCATGACGCACAAGCCGCAGGCGCTCGTGAGCTCGCCGACCGAGCCGTTCCCGGTCCCTGGCCTGCCGGACCTCCGCATCACCATAGCCGACCTCGGCCCGCCTTTCGACGTCCCGGAGCCGGCCGGCCCGCACTGGGACTTCGTGTGCGAGAGCTGCAGCAGCATGTACTCCAGCAGGGGCATCATCGCCAACTCCTTCAGCGAGCTCGAGTCGGTCTACATCGACCTGTGGAACCGGGACTTCGACATCAAGACGTGGCCGATCGGACCGCTCTGTCTTGCGGCTTCCGAACCGGCAGTCCAGAGTAAAGACGACCGTGACATCTCGGACTGGCTGGACTCGAGGCTCGCCATGGACCGGCCGGTCCTCTACGTCGCGTTCGGCTCGCAGGCCGACCTGAGCCGGGCTCAGCTGGAAGAGATCGCCGTCGGCTTGGACCACTCCGGCGTAGACTTCCTATGGGTGGTCCGGTCGAAGTGGTTCAGCAGTGAGGATCGGTTCAATGACAGGTTCGGGGATAGGGGCAAGGTGGTCGAAGGTTTCATCAACCAGCTCGGAGTGCTAGGTCACAAGTCAGTCAAAGGATTTTTCACCCATTGCGGGTGGAACTCGGTGCTGGAGAGCATCACCATGGGCGTGCCAATACTGGCGTTCCCAATGGCGGCCGAGCAGAAGCTCAACGCGAAATTCGTCGTGGACGTGATCCACATGGGGCTCCGAGTTTGGCCAAAGGAAGACGCGGGCAAGGAAAGTGATGGATTGGTTGTGAGTGGAGACGTGCAGGCGTTGGCAAGGGAGTTGATCTTCGGAGAGGAAGGGCGACGTGCCGCGGCTAGAGCTAGTGAGCTCTCTGTGTCTTCTAGAAAGACCATGGAAGTGGGCGGTTCCTCGTATGAAAACCTGGCAAAGATGGTCCAGGAGGTCAGTGAGACCAATGCCAATGGTGGTTAAATATAATCATTGCCAATTGCTGTTTCGTATGCGTGCTTGGCATTATTGGTGCTCCGGTGGCTTTAGTCAAGATTGTGGTGTATTGTCTTAGTCTTTACAGCTTCATTATTTTAAAAAGCAAGTTGGTGATTGTATGTCGTTTTTTGTGGTACGTCATCGCTCCTCTCTTCGTCTAGAATAAATGTTGTGAGTTGAGACGTGCAGGTGTTGACAAGCGAATTGATCTTCGGAGGCGAAGGGAAATGGGCCGCTGCTTAATTTAAGTGAGGTCTTAACATCTTCAGACTAGCCACAATGGATAGTAATATAAACTAATAACATGTCCATATTATTAGAGATAGTAATATAAACTAATAACATGTCCATATTATTAGAGTATGTTACTATTTTTATAGTGAGGAGTAACATATATGTGGTAACATGAAGTATTTCATTTATTAGGCTATAAACACATCTTGCATTGATATGTGTGATGTTACTCACTACTCAATGGCGTAGTCAGGTCCCAGGCTACCTGGCCCGTGGCCTGGGACGTGCAGTGGAAAACCTTCGGTGAATATAGCTACAGTCATGTAGGCGAATGTAGCTACAGTCATGTAATGTAGCTACAGTAAACACTGTAGCAACAAAGACAGCCTTGGGAGTGGAAATATTCTGGCTACGCCTTTACTCATACTAGGAGTAATAGCTATGTTATCATTTTCATCTTTTTATTCATTTATTGCATGCGACATCATCTATTTAACTAAAATATGCATGATGTTACTATATATATTACTCCCACTTTGGGTAGTCTCAAGGAAGGAAAACCATGCACATAGGTGTGTCCTCTTTCAAAAACTTGATGCAGATGATTGAAGATTGTCAGTGAGACACGTGCTTCAGCAGGTCAGTGAGACCCATGTATTTATAACTAATTATAGTAGTTCCTAGTAGTAGCGAAAATACATAGGAGCACTCCAGTGCCACACTCCCCCTACATTAAAAAAAGTTAGTAATTCGAAAAAAGTCAAAAATCCCATGACTTTTTATGGAATCAAGTATTTGCCAAAAAAGGCTAGATACAAGTACTCATGCTATATTGTCGTCATAAATTTGTCTTTTTTTTCTTTTGCCCTGAAGTCAACGGGAATCATTCTTTAACCCAACCTTTTATGCGAGTACAATACCTGGTCATATTTGATTCCAAAAAAGTTTTGTGATTTTTTGACCTTTTTAGTTACTAAATTATTTTTGAATATAGGGGGTGGAGCACCCGAGTGCTCTTAATCCGCTTCTTTGCTAGTAGTTGTTATCTATGCCATCATCTGCCCATGCAATCTAACAGGCTTGTATTCACATTTGCGGTCGATGTTTGTTTGGAGCTTTGCATCGTAGAAGTACTAACTACTCCTGTCGTTTCTAATTATAAGATGTTTTAGATATTGCAATATTGACTGCATACAAATTAAAATGAGTAAATATACACACTGAATCGACTCTAGATGCATACGGATCTGAGAAAATAGAGAAAAGCTAAAACATCTTATATTTAAGAACAGAGGGAATAGATGATAACTCGCACTTTGTTGCGAAAATATTATGCAATATCTTTCAATTATAATAGTAAAAAATATCTTCCATTGATACTTGATTGTATGGAATGGATATATTCAAAAAGAATATGAGAACTAAAACTATGTGTGTGTGTGTGTGTGTATATATATATGTATATATATATATGATTTATTGTGTTGGATTATTATTGTATAGTTGTAAAATATTTAGTAAATATCTCATGCATGTTCGCATGTTGAGGTGTACCTTTTCCTACGCATGATTTATGTTCGGATGGGCTTTTTCCTATGGATGTTGCTTGATAAGATGGCATGCTTGCATGTTGTGGTAAATAGGTTAGTGGGGGCTAAGTATTAAGATATGAAAGATATGCTAATAATAAGGTACTGACAATTTCAATTTCTATATGTCACTTGACATATGAATTAATTCTTGTAACTTTAGAGTCCTTGATGGACAACTCCATGGAAAGTTGATTGAAACTTAACTGGTTCTAGGTCAATCAAGGATTAGGAAATATGTGTCTTTGTATTTGCCATTTAAGATTTTTTTTTATTGACGCTAATTCGATCTAGCAACATAGCGTGTGCTAACAGAGCAAATGACATAAGACATAATTAGAACATCTAGCATATTCACATATTGACCAAGAGCACATGGCAAAAGAGGGAGGTTCGGGACATATCAGGGGTGGGCCTCTGGACCATAAACGGGGCGCGTTACAACCCACCTGGTTGGACATATCGGGGGTGAGCCCCCATACCGCAAACAGGCGCCATAATCGAACAACATAATTGAAAGGTAGTCAAAGTGGGGCCAGACCCTTAACATATCCTCGAGAGAGGATAGCTCGGGTCCGAGGTGTAATGCTCAACATGCGGTCCTACCCCAAACGACTTTACAAGCCTCGCTAAGGATAGGAGCGTGGGGATACCCAAACATGTGACGACTCACGTGTCGGTAATAAGGTGGACGTCACAACAAATACAACATCAATTGAATAGATGAGAATACAAACGTTTAAGTTGGCTTACAATCGCCACAAAGAAGGAAGCTACAACATAAGTATCACAATCCATCAATACATAGAAGTCATCATACTGTGGGATAAGAAGCTAATTGGCCTAAAGAGGCACCAAATAAAAGAAAGCAACATCCACCCTGCTAATTCCAGACTGCCAACCCAGAACCCATCCTAGAATCATCGATGAAGAAAAACTCCAAATAGAACAATGCATCTCTCTCACATTAAAGCATCGCTTTACCTGTACCTACATTTAGTGTTGTAGTATATGTGAGCCTTTTGGGACTTGGCAATTAATCTCAATACCATGTGTATCAAGACTAACAATACTTTAATGGGTATGGAAAGGTTAAGTGGTAAGGTTTCAGCAAGCACTAAGCATTTGTTACCCAACTATTCTTACGTGTACTAGAACAAGATGAAATAAATGCTATGCATAAGCGGGCGCAATGTAGTATGATCAAGAAGTGACCCTGTACACCTACTTACGAGTCAATCATAACCCCACCGTGTTCTCTTCTTGATCTCAGTCTCACAAGAAAAGACAATCATCGTTATACACACGGTTCGCAAGTTTTAGTTAATTTAGTTTGAAGTTCTCTACAACGAGAGGTTGTCAATTTCCAAGTCGCCACATAACCGAGGACACGGCTTTCCGAAAGATTAATCCCTCCAGGGGTTCTCCAACTTGTCCAATTACAAATTACCACATGCAACTTTGAAAACCTTAACTATGGGATAGCCCGAAGCATCATCGAAATCCGGTGCACAAGTCCTTCATCTAAGGTAAAACTAGTCCAGCAAGACCTCCCAGCGTGTCGACAATCCCAATTAGGGCCACACGCAGCCCATAGTCAGGACACGGCCGGATGGGCAAGACGTCGGGTTAGCTGAGTCCCCGGTTTCTCGGGGGCGCCGGACATTGCCATATTTTGGACCAACACCATCAATAGTGGCCCACCTGCTTATGTGGAATTACAAGAGTCCGAGGTGGCGAACCTCTATGCCTTAATTAATTATCAGTATTATTATGTTGACAAAGTTTAGAACCAAAATTGAGGCCTCGCTGGAAAAGTTGAACACAAAGACTAGAGATCAAGGGGGGCCATAAACCCCACACGTGTCAGGAGCGCTCGTCAAGAAACATAACACTGGTATTACGGAAACTAGGGTGTCAAGATGGAACAAAACTCCAAGTAAAAGGCTGAGCCTTCTACCCTTAACCAAGTGTATAGATAAATAAGCATAATATAATGGTATTCCAAGATATCCATGTATCAACATGGGACAACCTGCACCTGTAATTAGCAACGCTATAGAGGGGCTGAGCAAAGCGGTTTCATAGCCAACCAATGGTTTGCATAGGTGGTGGAGTTTAGAGGCTTATCATGGCAATTGGGAGGCTTTCAAACAAGTGATAGGTAGCGAGACCAAACGATGGCATCGAGACATCTAGCAAAACAAAGCTAGTAAAGATATCCAATGTAATGATCATCTTGCCTGGAATCCTGCTTTGAAGAATATCGAATCCATGAAGTAGACAAACTGAACATAGTCGAACGAATCCTCGCACTCCGCATCGTTATTGGGAACTAGCGGGAACAAGAAAAACCGGAAAGAAGCAAATGAGACGGTAAACAAATAAACATAATCATGACATCATGCACATACAAGTATGATGCATGTCAAGTTTAAAGAGGCATGGCATGGCAAGGTGCAACAATCAATTACTACACATTAAGTGAAGCTCAATATGCAACGAGTTACATACTGACAAAACTCCACATTCAATAACGTTCAATCCCATTTAGCTACTCATCAATATTAGATATTGTTAAACATGACAAGAGGTGAAGCACAAGTAAACTTCCTATCTAGGCAATTTAAATGAGGACGGAAACAACATATAACTATTACGGAAATTCCCATACGCAAATTTCGAATTTGGTATTGTTCTGTTCTAGACCATACTTTATTGTTGTTAAATAGGAATAGTAAGTGCACCATGTTATTCTACATGATTTTCTAGTCCATTTGCATATAAAGCTCATTTAAATCAGAGCTACAGTTATTTAGTTATGAAATAAACCATTTTAGCAAGTTATAAATGCAAATTAATGCAATCGACAAATTAAACATTTTTAACACATGTGAGAGTTGTATATTTTGAATCTACACAAAATTATAAGCATTTTACAGTTATGAATCATTTTAATCTGATGCATGGTTGGTGAGTTATTAAATGCATGATGTAGATGGACTTTTTGTAAAATAGAAATTCCGTGGATAATTGCTAAATTCGCAGGCAGGAAAAAAACATTACACGGGTCGAAATCAATAGATTTGGGCTTAACAGGACATGCGTGATATAATATGTAGCACACAGGGGAGGGATTGCACGCTGATGATACGTCTCCAT